CCCGCTCTTAGGCAGGACCTGCCTCAGAGACCCATTCCAAATGTAGTACTGCCTCCTGGGTCAGTCCATATCGGTATCTCCACATGTCACCTCCCTACGGGGAGGATGCACTCTTCTCGATATGATCGTTTTCTGAATCTCTGTGATAAAATTTGTGATTGCTGTTGAAAATCTTCATCACTGCTGCAAATACGGCAAATACGACTAAATTGTGAAATTGGTAACGAGCGCTTTAATGACACAGGATGATAGGATTGTCCGTGTAAAATGGTGTTACGGTCAGTTGGTTTGCGATACAAAGTAGTTTCAGTGCCTGATGCAGTACGAAGAACAAGCACATCCAAAAAATTCATTTTCTCTTGATGAAATTCCATAGTAAATTTCAACGCACTACACTTATTATTAACCAAACTATGAAATTCTAGTAGCTCAGATTCAGTACCACTCCATACTAAAAAAACATTATCAATGTAGCGTTTCCATAGAACAATGTGTCTCAAGAAATCATTCGCCACAGGATTTAACACAAACCGATGCTCAAACTTTTGGAGCTTTTGTGTTGCCGACTTTACATCCAAAAATTGTCCTTTTCTTTTTGTTCCACCACATTGTCAAAGAAAGAGCAGTTTCCTTTTCCTCCGGGTTGCAAGGCTCGTGGGTCGACAGTGAGTGACGCACCGCTTCCTCACTCTCACCCACGACGCCCCCTATTGCCAGTGGCCAAGAGGTCGCGGTTAGGAGACACAACGCCTCTCCACGCGTATCTGGCCAGTCCCTCCGGGGACACAGGGAGTTTTGCTGTGATGACTCAGAACGCGATGCCTTCTGGGCCACCCAGCACAACTCCCCATCGCTGCACCACTGTGGCTACGTCGACTGTCCCTTTGGTGCCACTGGTACGGAGTTTGGGAGCGTGGCTTGCCCAACCCGTCCTGCTGGCTCATTCGGACGGTTCGACTCGGCTACGCGATTCAATTCGTCAGGCGACCTCCCAAGTTCAATGGCATTCTTGAGACTTCGGTGGCAGTTCGAGACGACTCTGTCTTGCACGAGGAGATTGCTGTCCTGTTGGCGAGAGGATGCAATCAAGCCGGTCCCTCTAGCCGAGATGAGGAAGGGGTTTTACAGCCCTTACTTCATCGTACCCAAGAAAAGCTGTGGCCTTCGACCTACGAGTCTTGAATCGGGCCCTTCACAAGCTCCTGTTCAAGATGTTGACGCAGAAACGTATTATCAAATGCGTTCAAGCCCAGGATTGGTTTGCAGCGATCGACCTGAAGGACGCGTACTTTCATGTCTCGATCCTTCCTCCAAGCAGAGGTTGGCCCACTGGATAGTGGATGCAATCACCTTGGCGTACCAATCCCAAGGCAAGCCGTGCCCCCTGGGGGTGAGAGCCCACTCCACTCGGAGTGTTGCCTCCTCCTGGGCGCTGGCGCATGGCTCCTCTCTGGCAGACATCTGTCGAGCTGCAGGCTGGGCAACACCTAACACCTTTGCAAGGTTTTACAACCTTGGTGTAGAGCCAGTTTCTTCCCATGTGTTGGGTAACAGGTAATTTGCGGGAAGAACTGGCTCAGTGTCACACATGCTGCGCCATTCGCCATTCCCCTTCACACGGGGATGCGAGCACCTTCTTCTCCCAGTAGAGTTCCCCAGTTGGCGAACCCTGGTTTAGCATCCTCCAGCGCCCCCGGCAGTCAGACTTGGTGGAGCAGTCTGACGCCAGGCCCAGTACTGTTGGTGTTAGCATGGCCGGAGTCCGGTCAGTCCCTGTACTGGGCTAGGTGTCCATATGGCTTGATTCCCTACGGGTATTCCCATATATGTATTCCTCCATGGTAAGGTTTCCCTCTCGGTAAACCTGTGTCTTCCCTTGATAGACCCGCTCTTAGGCAGGACCTGCCTCAGAGACCCATTCCAAATGTAGTACTGCCTCCTGGGTCAGTCCATATCGGTATCTCCACATGTCACCTCCCTACGGGTAGGATGTGGCCTCCGTAGCGACCTTTTTCCTTAAGGCTTGCTTCCCCATCGTTCTGCCAGGCTGATAGAACAAATAAGAAAGATTTGAAGCAATCTTTCACTGAAGGTTGAAATCCCTTCCAAAAACTTTTTTGTGGACGAAACAGTAGCATGGCCTTCTCCAGCTGCGATGTACTCACCATTAGTCCCCTTCGGTACCAAGGTCAGTGTATTTGCGCTGGGGCTTTGGGAAGGTTACGACCTTAGCGTAGCTTTTGTCTTGACACGCTACGGCATGTCAACATTTGCAGCGCCACAGGGTTGTGACACTTTCCAAAGACCCCATATGTCATCATGACATAGCTCATAGTGACGACAGATAGGGAACGTCTCGGTTATGTACGTAACCCTCGTTCCCTGATGGAGGGAACGGAGACGTTATGTCCCCAAGCCACAACCTTGAACCATTCGCTGTTGCCGGGACATGTTCTCGGCTCCTCAGCGTAAAACCTAATGAGTGGATGCATGCTGTCGCCTTATATACCCGTGTACATGGGGAGTGGCTCAGCATGCAAAATCCACTAGCCAATTCTCATTGGCGTTTTCTCTTAAACTCCGAGATGATTGGGTTCCCAAGTGAGACCCCATATGTCGTCACAACATAACGTCTCCATTCCCTCCATCAGGGAATGAGGGTTACGTACGTAACCGAGACGTTTGCTATATGAAAAAGTAACTGAATAACATCATTCTGCCTGACATCTCCTTTTGTAAGTCATATGGATAAGAAACAAAATAAAGGTAAGTGATAAGATGTTTTATTTTTGGATAAACTATTTTATTCACAACATAATCTCTCTTAAAATACCTTATAGGGTTATGATAATCAAAACAGTCCTGAGCTAGATCAAGTTTTGATCTCTGCAAACCAAACTATCACTTTAATGAAATATTGATATGAATATATTTTTTCCCACTAATAAAAAGATTTTATCATTAGCTAGCTCCACACTGGAGAGCTGATTTATAACAGAAAATCAAGTTGTAATTCTAACTGAAAGCGACACTGACTGGTTTTTAATGTTTAATACTGTAAAGCTGCTTGATTTAAGGCTATCTATTGCATAAAGTACTATATAAATAAACATGACGTGACTGCACTTTACTGAAGTACCGAACTGCAGAGCTCGTGCAAACATCCACATCGCTGTAATCAGATGTGTTTTTAACTGCTGATTTCTCACCGTTGTCAGTTTTTGATGCGTTTATTTCATTATTGAGAGGAAAGCGCGCAGCATACGTTTACATAATCATCAAAACATCGCTCAGCAGCTTCTTGTTCGGTTCTGCTCTGTTTGCTCTGAAACGCTTTGTCTTCTTCTCTTGAATTGCATCAGGAGGGCTGAATTACAGTCTTGCGCTACAGCGACACACTGGTCAAACCGTGTTATTCCAGGGTCTTACATTAGGTCATATGAGATCAAATGACTGCTCGACAACAAAAATATTTGTCGACAATTTGTTTTGTCGATGTTGTCGATAATGTTGACTAATCGTTTCAGCCCTAGTTTGAAGAGCCTGTGCCAAAACTGAGAAAAATTACGCTATACTGATGTGCACATGCCCAGTAGTTTTTGCTGTATGCCATCTAGCCATAATCCAGAGGATGGTTTGAAAAAGTTTCTAATCTTCAAAAGTTTCTAATTAATCAACTCATGTCATGCGTAGTCCGGTCAATGGATTCACATATTGATCAATAATATAAAATATCCAAGTGTGTGATTATAATTAATAATTGACGTGAGTAGTAGCAAAAAATATTTTTGGTGAGCTCTATGTTCGGGGGCTCTGAGACCCCAGCTATAGAACATGATAAAATGCAATAGAGGTGTGACGTGCATTCAGTTTCTGTCTGGTGTTAAGGTTATTCTAAACTATTCTACTGAATCCCAAATAAGTGTACACACACACACAACCAAGTCAATGTAAAGTCAAACACAAGAGTCATGCGAAGTGCCGATTTTTTCAAACCAGCTGTCCCAACCTTCCGATACTGCATGACGTTCGAAGCTTCAAACGTCATCAATCACGTGGTATTGTCATTTCGATACAAGCATCGGCACAGTGTGTGATACAATAGTGCTTTGAAAACCGCGTCGGAGCATCGGAGCCATCAATCGTCCCATCACTACTATAGTATTTTACAGTTATGATAGAATATATAACGATTCAATTTACAGTACCTTCATAAATTGAAAAAGCAAAAATACCTGTTGCACATTCTTTGTTCATAATTTTGTAGATATGAAGTAAAAGAAATCATGTTGAATTTTATGCAGAAAACCCATCTTGCTCAGACCAAGGCAACTTGAAGCACCTGATATCATAATTACACCTTCCCAATTCGTAAATTCGAACTTCCCAGGAGGACTTGAACACACCATTAGTCATAGTCTGGAGCCTACAGGCTTGTAGCATCTAAAGGGACATATCGGTGAAAAAAAAAATTTGAAATGGGAGGGAAAATAATACTTAAGTGCATTTGTGTTAGCTTGAAAAACTTTTGTGTTCACTTGCAAAATATTGCGTTCCCCCAAGAAACTTTACATTGCAAACAATTTACAACTTTATCTTTACAAGTACTGAAATATAAATTTTCCTCCCACCTTATTTTTTATTTATTTATTTTTTCAAACAACCTGTTTAAATAAGTAATAACTATTTAAAGTGTAAATTTCTTGCATTCTAGGTTTATTTTTATTTTTATATCTCCTGTGTTCATGTTGTTTTTGTAACTATGGGTACCACTGACAGATGTAGGAGGGTTAACTTGAATCTCAGAGTATAAATGGACAAGCCTGAGCTGCTCTGAGACCATTTAACAAATTATATTGAGTGGGCATGTACTGTATTTATATTAATCTTTCTTTGCACATTTGTCTTTACCATGTCATTATTTATGAAATAATTCTAGGCACAATTTGGTCCATTTTTGAGTGGCTTTTTACATTTACAAAACAAACATTGTGTTTCAGTCTTGTATATCAGTCACTATTTAAAGCAGACGTGATGATTGCAAATGAAACTGACATTGAGAATGTGTTTCTCTGCTATCCACTCCGGCCGGACTCCTGTCCCAGAGCTCATCGACTTACCATCCTTAAAGTGGCGATGTATGTTTTCATGGTACTGATGATCCTCACAACAGTTTTTGGGAACCTGCTGGTCATCATCTCCATCTCTCACTTCAAACAGCTTCAGTCTCCAACTCACATGATCGTTCAGTCGCTGGCAGCTTGTGACTGTCTTCTGGGCTCTTTGGTCATGCCGTACAGCATGGTGCGATCTGTTGAAGGCTGCTGGTATCTGGGAGATGTTGTGTGTAAAGTGCATTCTAGTTTGGACATGACTTTCAGCATCTCTTCCATATTGCATCTCAGTTTAATTGCTATTGACAGGTACTGGGCCATTTGTGACCCTCTGAGGTACAAAATGAGGGTCACAAACTATATATATATATATATATATATATACACAGTATACATATACACATACCAATTTCACAGTTCTAGTTTATGCATGTATACACACACAAACATATACAAAATAAAATAAAGTTTAAGGCCTCCTAGTACAACACAACTTCAACATTTCTTTTATTATATGTCTTAAAATGTCCGTCAAATATGTCCGTCAAATATGTCCGTCAAATATATCTCCATTATTTTCTCCTTCCAAGAAAATCATAAAGGGTTTCCAAGCATCCTCAAAAGCTTTATATCTGCCCTTAATAATATATGTTATTTTCTCCAATGACATTGTTGCCAACTCTTTTAACCATCTCCCTATACTTGGTGCCTCTACCTTTTTCCAGTGAAGAGCTATGAGACGTTTAGCTTGTAGAGTACACATATAAACAAGAATATGTTCTCTTCTTCTCAATTAGGATATAAATTTAATATAAAAAAAATTTGGTTCAAGGGGAATAGTAACATTAATTATTTTACTTATCAAAGTTTGCACTCCCTTCCAGAATTTCAAGATGTCTTCACACTCCCATACACAATGAAAGAATATTTACACTTTTACTGACTGATTTATATATACATTCATATAAATTGTAGCCTAAATCTAAAGTTCATCCCAGTATTATTTGTCATTTACCCATATATCATTATTGTGCATATGCAACATGCACATAATGCCTTATTTTGAAATGTTATTATGAATATCAGTATTTATAGTTAAGATAAATCATGGTGCACAAAGACACCATTAGTCCTTTAAAGGGTTAGTTCACCCAAAAATGAAAATTAGCCCAT